ATCCCACAACACAACACCAGGACTCTGGGGACAGGTACCTAGAAGAATACATATCTAGATCATATGCTGTCTATTTCTAAATTTTTAAGGAAGTATCATACCATTTTCTGCAGTGGGTATCCCATTTTACAGTCTCATCAGCAGTGTATGAGAGTTCAGTCTTCTCCATACCTTCAGGTATTTGTTGGCTACCTGAATGTCTTCTTTGGTCAAGTGTTCATATCCCTTGCCCATTTAAAAATTGGCTTGGCTGTCTTTTTGTTGTTGACTTTAGGTTTTCTATAAATTTTAGTGATTATTCCCTTGTCAGATGGGCTGTTGCCAAAAAGTTTTCTTAAGTCTGTATGTTCATTTTTGACTCTTTTGGAAAAGTCTTTTGAGACACATAAGTGCTTTAATTTGAGAAGGTTCCAGTCGTCTAGTTTTATCTTCTGTTATTTGTGTATTTTAGTTATATTTGATAGACTATTTATGCCATAAATTAGGGCCCCTAAATTTGCCCCTATTTTTTCTTCCATGATCTTTATAGTTTTAGGCTTTATATTTCGGGATTTGATCCATCTTGTGTTCAGATCTAGATCCTCTTTCATTTTTCTGCAATTGGAGGTCTAGTTTTGCCAGCACTATTTGTTAAAGAGACTATTTCTTCCCCCATTAATAGGTTTTGGTCTTTTGTTGAGTGAAGATCAGCTGTCCGTAGGTGGATAGATTTACTTCTAGTTCTCAATTCTGTTCCATTGGTCTATGTGTCTGTTGTTGTAGCAGGCTGTTATGACTATTGTAGCTATATAGTAGGTTTAAGATCAGGGAGTATGAGGCCTCCTACGCTTTGAAGGAGAATATTGAAAGTGCCATGGACTGCCAAAAGAACAAACAGATCTGTGTTGGAAGAAGTGCAGCCAAAGTGCTCCTGGAGGCCAGGCTGGCCAAACTTCATCTTTCATACTTTGGACATATTGTCAGGAGGGATCAGTCACTGGAGAAGGATATCATGTTTGGTAAGGTGGAAGGTCAGAGAAAAAGAGGTAGACCCCCAGCGAGATGGATTGGCAAAGTGGCAGCATCGATGGACTCAAGCATGGCAACAATAGTGAGGTTGGCCCAGGATTGGGCAGTGTTTTGTTGTGCTGTGCATAAGGTCACTATGATGGCACCTAACAACAACAACTTTTTCTTCAGTAGTGCTTAGCTTGTCTAGGGTCTCTTTCCTTTCCATATAAAGTTGCTGATTTGTGGCACAAAATCTAGATTGCATTCTATGTACACATAGCTTTGGTTAGTATTCACATTTTCTCAATGTTAAGCCTTCCTGTCAGTGAGCATGAGGAGTTCTGGTAGCGTAGTGGTTAGGATTTGGGCTGCTAACTTCAAGGTCAGCAGTTCGAAACTACCAGCTGTTCCATGGAAGAAAGATGAGACTTTCTGCTCCCATAAAAATATACAGCTTCGGAAACCCTATGCAGGGTTGCTATGAGTCAGAACCGACTCCATGGCACACCACCACCACCATCATCATCCATGAACATGGTATGGTATGTTCTTCCATTTATATAGATCTCTTATGGTTTCTTGCAGTAGTGTTTTTGTCATTTTCTTTGTATGTCTTTGTATGGTTAGGTTTATTCCTAATTATTTTGTCTTTTTGGTGAATATTGTAAATGGTCTTGTTTTCCTGATTTCAGGTTCTCTTTGTTAATATAGAGGAGGAATCCAACTGATTTTCATATGTTGACCCTGTACTATGCTGAATCCTTCTATTCTGGTAGCCTTCTTATAGAATTGCTGGAGTTCTCTATGCATTGGATCATGTAAACTGCAAATAGAGATAGTTTTTAATTCTTCCTTAACCAATTTGGATGCTTTTTATTTCCCTTTTCTTGCTTTATTGCTCTGTCTTGGAGCTCCAGTACAATACTGAGCAAGTGGTAATAAAGGGCACCCTTGTCTAATCCCTGTTCTCAAAGGGAATGTTTTCCTTCTTTCCCCATTGAGAATAATGTTGACCATTGCTTTTTTTTTTTTT